TTATAAATACAAACGCCATTTCAAACCACTTGATTTCCTAGTTGTCAAAAATATAAAAAAGAAATTTTCAAAAAAGTGCATTTAATATGCAACAGATGAAGATAGAAATAACAACATTAGGCTGCTATTAGAAAATTTTTATATATATTTAAAACATTTAAAATTTTTAGTTGAAAGGAGCATTAAAGCATGTGTGAAAGTTCTTTCTTAATATTTCTTTCAATTAGAGTCACCCTAATGTACATATGTACATATGTCTGCATTTCTGTAACTTATGGCGAATGTTTATAAAGCAAATGTTGCATGTAATACAACTGACCGTATGCGTAACGTGTCATAAAATGTATGAATTCAAAAAAAAAGAAACAAATTTATTTTAAAAAAATGTAAGCTGCAAATATAAAAAAGAATTTTTAGGCAAAATGAAAATAACAAAAAGTATTTTTATTTTAAGAATGTGAACTCATTGCAATTTATGAAATTTATTGTGGGCATTTTATATACACTGCCAAACAATTAAGAGATATTAGTTTATTGTACTCTAGGCAACACTTAGAAATAAAAATATATTAAGAACTGAAAATAACTAGTCCACTTATCCATGTGGAAAAAAATCCCAATTATTTTCAGTGTAAATTAATGAAATCACTTGATTTCAATTTGATTTAATTTTTAAAGAGATTTTTTTCAGAAATTTTGAACTTGATATCAGCATGAACTTAAAATTGTTTTCAAAACACAAAGCATTGCAGCAAAGCGAGAAGCTTTCTACTAAAATGAAACATTTTCTCTAACAAAAATATAATAAAAGCTTTTTCTCTGAATAAGAAATTTCCGAAATTTTTTTAATAAAAAAGAGAGATTTTCTTTTAAAGATAAGCCTTTTCTCTAAAAAAGGCTTTCTCTGAAAAACAAGTATGTGAAAAGCTTTCTTTTCAAAATCCTAAGAATATTATTGCCTCTTAAAATGTCTTTTGTATAAAAAATTTCCTTTCATTTTGCCTTTTCTTTCTTAAAAGCTTAAAGCTTCTATTAAAAGCTCAATGAAAATGTATTTTTTTTTTTTAAGTGTTTCCATTGAAAAAGTTTTTACGATAAAAAATAAAGCTTTTTCTTTACATAAAAATGAATAAATTGCTAATTTATATAAATTGCACTTTTAAGAAAAAACAAAAGCTTTTAGAAAAAAAAACAAATAAAAATAATTAAAAAAGCTTTTTCTTTTCAAAAGCTTTAAGAAAAAAACAAATTAAAAATAATTAAAAAGCTTTTTCTTATCAAAAGCAGATAAGTTGGCAACATTTGCACCAGTTATCGGCCAATAACTAAAGCCGATTTTAGTCTTTAGTAACTAATATGTTTCATTATATTAAAAAAGAGCTTTTTATCTAAAAAAAAATTTTAAGAAAAAGCTTTAAAAAAATCTTTTTTAAGAAAAAGCTTTTTTACCAATAAAAGCTTTTGAAATTTATTTCAAAAAGTCTTTTGTGCAAAAATAACCTCATCTTCCCGATTAAATAGAGCTGCAGCTTTTTGAAAATAAATTCATTAAAAAGCATAATTTTTCTCGGAAAAAGAGCTTTTTTATCTTAAAAATTTAAATGAAAATGTGCTTTTTTCTGAAAAAGTGTTTTCAATGACTAAGTTTTTTCTATAAAAAATAAACAGATATGTTCTTTTTCACTAAAGAAGCTTTTAGTAAAACAATATATTAAACTTCAAAAAAAGCTTTATTATTTTATAAAAATACATTTTTCTCTCATAAAAAGGCATCATTTAAACCAGTTATGAGCAAATAATTGAATAGGATTTCAGTCTTTAGGATGTGATTGTGAATATGTTCCATCGATTTCAACGTGCGGTTCAAAAGTGATGATTTTGACACGAAGTTTAAATATCGTCCAGAGACCAAAAGGGTTCTATCTGCTAAAATCTATTGAAAACTGACCAGACTATCACAAAGAACTTGTTCTGAATGCAATTAATTCGTGTAAAGGGAAATTTTAAAAAATGCTGAATTTTTAAACTTTGTTTAAGTCTGCAAAAGAAAGCTTTTTATGGAAAACTTTTATTTTCTAAAAAAGCTTTTTTTAAGCTGTTTTTAATGAGATATTTTATTTAATGTTTTTTTCCTAAAAAAGATTTTTTTGAAAAAAGTTTATTTTTAGGCAAATTTATTCAAACAAAAAATTTTTTTAACCAAGAATTTTTTATTTGCAAGTTTTTTCTATGAAAAAAAACAAGATTTTAATGTTTTCTTAAGTCCGAAAAGGATAATTTTTCTATGAAAAAAGTTTATTTTCAGAAAAAAACTTTTTCCACAAAAAAAATTCTAAAAAAGGTAAAATTTTATCTTAAAAAAGAAGCTTTTTTCCGGAAAAAGTATTTTTCTACCAAAAACAAGATTTTTCTCTTAAAAAGAAACTTCAGTTAAAGTAGCCATATAAAATGTGTAAATGCACTTAAAGAAATATACATATGTAAATTTAAAATTTTCATGCTGTAATTAAAAGTCGTTGAACTTCTGCTTGCAGCATAAATTGAGAAATATTATTTGATGTGATTTTCTACTATAGTTGTTGTTGTTGTTGTTTACTTAGCAAATGTTTCAAATGTTTTACATTTGAGTCATTTTGTGTTTTGTTTCCCATAAGAAAAAAACTCATTTCCATTTGACACTTTTTTTTTTCTTCTTTGCATTGTATGTGATTTATTTTCTGAAATATATTTAGATTCTATTGTTGTATTGTCTATATTTAAACTTCAGCAAGGTCAATTTTATTGTTTATTTACTATAATTTTGTTTTAAATCTATACTGTGATTTGATTTGTTTGTTTCTCAAAATCTTTACAATAAGTTCATTTTGTTTTTTAAAAATACTCTGTTGCCAAAACGGATGTTTTTTTTCTAGTAACTTGTCTGATAAAAATCTATTAGGGTTATTTTTAAAATATCAACATTTCTCTTTAAAATAAGCGTGCTTTAAAGTGTCATTAATAATATGTTTGATTAAGTTGTAAAAAGCGACATTTAACTTAATAAATTTCGATAAAATAAATTGTTATGAAATGAAATTAATTGAAACATTTTGTGTATTTTTAGTGGGTAAATTTTTAGTTCGTAACACTCACTATAAAGCCAAACAATTTACGTCACAAATTTAGAGGAAACGTTATAAATTTAATTGATTGGCATGATTAGCTAAATCGTGGGATATTTAGAAAATTTTCTTTAGAATTTAGTTTTTTTGTTCTGTGAAAATTATATATTTAGTTTTTGTTTTGAAACAAAAGGAATTTTGGTTATGTTTTTCTTAATTTCTATTGTCATGTATTGATGTATTTTGGCGCCCTGGGTGGTCGTTTACAAAATTAATTTCTTTTATGTAAATACTTTTGGGATTTTCCTAAATTTATTTTAAGTCAATAGTTTGAAAGTACAGTTTTTACAAAAGCTTTTTTTATTATGAAATCTTAGAGAACTTTTTAGCAATTTTATTAGTTAAATAAAATAATTTTTTTATGAAAAGCTCTCTTGTCTGAAAAACAAACTTTTAATATAATGGCAAATCTCTTAATTTAAAAAGAAAATTTTAATACAATAATACTTTAATAAAAACTAGCTTTTTCTCTAAAAGCTCTTTTTTATTGAACTTTCTTTTTCTGAAAGAGCTCTTTTTTACAGAGAAAGAGGACATTCGCTTAAAAAATGTATTTCTCCCAAAACTACTTTTTGAAGAAAAAACATTTCACAAAAACAAGTATCTTCAATTAAAGAACTAACTTTTACTGAAAGTGTGCTTTTTTCCAAAAAGTTTTTTATATGAAAAAAGCTTTTTCTCGAAAAGAGCTTCTTATTTAAGCAAATTTTAAAATTATCCAAAAGAACTTAAAAAGGAAGGAATTTCTCTAAAAAGAGCTTTTTACAGAAAATTAATTTTTTTTCTAAAAAAATATTTTTACTGAAAATTGAGTTTTTATTAAAAAGTATTTTTAAAAAAAGGAGGAGTTTCCATAAAGAATTAAGATATTCCTCGGAAGAGCTTTTATGACTAAAAAAGAGCTTTGCAATTAAAAAAAATCAAATGTTTTCTAGTAAAAGACTTATTTCACTGAAAAGAGAATTAAAAAAAAAAATCAAATGTTTTCTAGTAAAAGACTTATTTCACTGAAAAAGAGCTTTTTCTCTGAACAGAGCTTTTAATTTGAAGAAGAGCTTTAACTCTAAACGGAACCTTTGATTAGAAAAAGTTTTTTCTAATTTTTCTCTGGTTCATTTTAAATAAAAAGGTTTTTCCCTTTAAAAGTTCTTTTCCAAAAAATAAATAAAAAATTTACTGGTAAAAAGCTTTTCCTCAGAAAGAAAAAAATAATAATTTTTTAAAGAAAAAAACTAATATTTTTCTTTGAAAAATGTTTTTTTTATGGGGAAAGCTTTTTCATGAAAACACCCGTTTTCAAAAATATTAGAACAGAACTTTTAATTTCAAAAAGAGCTTTCACTCTAAACAGATCTTCCGATGAGAAAAAGTAAAAATATAAGCTTTTTCTTTGGTTCATTTCAAATAAAAAGCTTTTTCCTTTAAAAGTTCTTTTCCAAAAAAAATAAATAAAAAATTTACTGGTAAAAAGCTTTTTCTCAGAAAGAAAAAAATAATAGTTTTTAAAAAAAAAAAAAGAACATTTTTCTTTGAAAAATTGTATTTTAAAGAAAAAGCTTTTTCATTAAAAATGCCCTTTTTCAAAAATATTACATTACAATTTGCCCCACTGTGCAAAAAATTCTAAATCTTTACAAATTGCCCCAAAACCCCTCAACAAATTTAATAAAAACGTGTATTTAATTAATTCATTACATATAATTACAAACAATATTTTATGTTTTAAACAATTAATTTTATTTTATTTAAATTAATTTCAAAATGAAATTAATAAAAGAAAAAACCCACTCAAACAAAAATGTTATAAATTTTCTTATGACAATCTCTTAATAATTCCAGAGTGTGACGTTAATTGTCACAAAAAATGTGAACGTCTAACGGCCAATCTGTGTGGCGTCAATCAGAAATTAATTGTAGAAGCCCTCGCAAATGTTAAAAGAGGTAAAAAGAGAAAGAAAAGAAACGCAAAAAACAAATATTTTAAAAATATTTAACAAAAACGTTTTTGCTAAACAATCAGATAAACAAAGGCTGAATTGAATATTCAAATATAATTCTGCAGAAGCCCCCCGACCAAACAAATACTAGAGATCACATGATTTTGTATAGAGTAGAAAATTTGCAAGACATTTTGTATACAGTAAATATTTTGAAACAAAAAATTTTAACAAATTTGTTAATTTCTTATTGTTGTTTATATGCATTTTAAATAAATATATTGTTTAAATATGTATAATTAGAAATTTATAAATTTATTATATATTTTCTTTAATAATTTTCCAATTTATGTACTGTCATTAACCTCTAGTCGATTGACCAGTATTTTTTGTTGACAGCAACCTTCAATATTTTAAATTGAGGCAATTTCAAGTGATCTGCGTATTTGTTTGGAAAGGAAGTGCTTACCCAGCGAAAATTTTGAAACAAAATTGATTAAAAATATGAAAGCTTGAAGTTTTAAACGCATTTTCCCAAACATTATTATAAATTGGATCATATGCAAAATGGATTAACAACAATAAGTTTTCAATATTAAAATTTTAATTCTAAGAATTATTGGAGTTAAAAAGTTATTAATCCCTTTTGCATTTTAATTTTTGTTTAATACTTTCGAACAAATTTGCTGTGCAGAATTGAAATTTGAATTTAATAATTTCAATAGCCATAATTTCATATCGACTCAAAACTTTTCGAACAGGTGCCCGTGAAACCCGTGATTCTCCCAGTACACCTCCAAGTTCAAATCCTGCTTATAAAATTGAAGCCGCTGAAGAACAAGATGGTATGATGATTCTCTTTTTATTTAAAAGCAAATATTATCGAAAAAATTCAAGAAATTAAGTGATCACTATTTATATTAAATTAAGCTAAATATCTTATAAAAATATGACAGACTTTGATTATAATCTGGACTATTATTTGACCTATACTCTGGTCTTTAATTATTCTGACTATAGCATGGGCTAAAATGGTCTCGTCTGGAATATAGACTGGTCTTTATTGTGGACGATAGACTGGTTTACAGTCTGGACTATAGACTAGTCTATAGACTGGTCACTAGTCTGGACTATGGACTGGATTATAGACTGATCTATAGTCTGGACTATAGACTGATCTATAGTCTGGACTATAGACCGATCCACCGTCTGGACTATTGAATAATTTATAGTCTGGATTATAGACTGATCTATAGTCTGGATTATAGACTGATCTATAGTCTGGATTATAGACTGATCTATAGTCTGGACTATATACTGATCTATACTCTGGACTATAGCCTGATCTATAGTCTGGACTATCGACTGATTTATAGTCTGGACTATAGACTGATCTATAGTCACTATAGACTGATCTATAGTCTGGACTATAGACTGACCTATAGTTTGGACTATAGACTAATTTATTGGCTGATCTAAAGTCTGGACTATATAGACTTATCTATAGTCTGGATTATAGACTGATCTATAGCCTGGACTATAGACTGATCTATAGTCCGATCTAAAGTAAATAGACAGATATGTAGCGTGGACTGATCTATATTCTGGACTATAGACTGATCTATAGTTGCACTATAGACTGACCTCTGCACTATAGACTGCTCTATAGTCTGGACAATAGACTGCTCTATAGTCTGGACTATAGACTGATCTATAGTCTGGACAATAGACTGCTCTATAGTCTGGACTATAGAGTGATCTATAGTCTGGACTATAGACTGCTCTATAGTCTGGACAATAGACTGATCTATAGCCTGGTCTATAAACTGATCTATAGCCTGGTCTATAAACTGATCTATAGCCTGGTCTATAAACTGATCTATAGTCTAGACTATAGACTGATCTATAGTCTGGAATATAGACTGATCTATAGTCTGGACTATATACTAATCTATAGTCTCGACTATAGACTGATCGTTAGTCTGGACTATAGAGTGATCTTTAGTCTGGACTATAGACTGCTGTATAGTCTGGACAATAGACTGCTCTATAGTCTGGAAAATAGACTGCTCTATAGTCTGGAGTATAGACTGATCTATAGTCTGGACTATAGACTGCTCTATAGTCTGGACAATAGACTAATCTATAGTCTGGTCTATAAACTGATCTATAGCCTGGTCTATAAACTGATCTATAGTCTGGACTATAGACTGATCTATCGTCTGGACTATAGACTGATCTATAGTCTGGACTATAGACTGATCTATAGTCTGGACTATAGACTGATCTATAGTCTGGACTATAGACTGATCTATAGTCTGGACTATAGACTGATCTATAGTCTGGACTATAGACTGATCTATAGTCTGGACTATAGACTGATCTATAGTCTGGACTATAGACTGATCTATATGGACTATTCGGTGATATATAGTCCGTACTATAGACAGATCTAGAGTCTTGACGATAGAATAATCTAGAGTATGAATAATAGACTAATCTACAGTCTGGACAATACACTAATGTATAGTCTGAACAATAGACCAATCTATAGTCTGTAGATTATTCTATACACTGGACTATAGATAGATCTATTTTCTGGCCTACTGATTGGACTATAGGCAGAACTATAGATTGGTCTAATCTATAGTATGAACTTTAGATAGGTCTATAGTTCGGACTTTATATTGGACTATTGTCTGGACTATATAGTCTGAACTATATACTAATCTGTAGTCTGCACTATAGACTGGTATATATTCTAAATGAACTATAGATTGGTCTATAGTTTGGCCTATATTCTAGTCTATAATTTGGTTTGATCTACAGTCCGTGCTCTATAGCCTAGTCTATAGTCTAAATTATAGCATGGTCCATTGTCTGATCTATAGTTTGACCCATAAAATAGAGTGTAGTCTGGTTTATAATCTGGTCTATGGTCTTATCTATTGTTTACATTATGTTAATATCAATATACATATTTTTATTTTTTCTAGAAACTTCATACACATATTCACAATTCCAAAAATCCGGACGTTTTACACCGCCAGCAACAATAATACCTAGATTTAAGAATTATACAGTAGATGATTTTCATTTCCTAGCTGTGCTAGGCAAGGGAAGTTTTGGCAAAGTAAGTATTGTGTTGGAAATGAACATACAAATTTTTCTGAACGTTTGTCAATTCGTTTAATAAAATGAGATGCTAACAATAATTTTCTTAATTAATTTCAGGTACTTTTAGCTGAATTACGTGATACAACTTATTATTATGCCGTTAAATGTTTGAAAAAAGATGTTGTACTCGAAGACGATGATGTCGATTCAACACTAATAGAACGTAAAGTTTTGGCCTTGGGTACAAAGCATCCGTATTTGTGTCACCTGTTCTGTACATTTCAAACGGAGGTGAGTAAACCATTTGTTTTTATATATATATTTTTTAAATTTATTATTTATATATGAAATAATTTAAATTATGACAATTAATCATTAATTAAACATTTTTAAATTAGCAAAACATATTGTATAAATAATAATATATTTATGGGAAAAATAAAAAATCACCAAAAATTTTAACAAGATGATTAGTTTATATATTATTTATATAAACAAATTTTGAATTTAATGATTATTTAATTTAAAGTTATAGTTATATCTTTTGAATATGTTTAAATATCTGTACCATAGACGTATGATTAATTTTCAAATATTTTCTTATATTAATATCACTCATACGTCTGTTAGAAGCATAAATCATTATAAAATAGATTTTATATGTTTTAAATTCCAATTATATTTTTCTCTTTAAACAGACATTTAATAGTATGTTTATCTTTATTCTGTTTTAGTTAATAATGCTAGACACGCGAATGAATCTTTTGTTATATTTAAACAATTCTCTCTCTGAAGCAAATCTAGTAAATAACATAAAAAGACCCCAATATACTAGAAAATGAAACACAATTAAAGGTAAAAATTCTAAATTTATCATTAAAATGACCATCATCATTCGTGTGTCTTACATTTGCCATTTTACTAGCAGTAGAAGACTCATTTCGTTGGTGGCTTTAAAAAAATGCGAGTATGTGTTTGAGAATTTCGCTACCGTGAATAAGTGTGCCAATGACCATTTTTTGGATCAGGGTACTTTTTATCAACGCCATCGTGTAAAAAAATCATTTAAACTAGATTCACGGCATCATTTAAATACAATTTTTACTATATCGTTTGTATATATTTAGATATGTAGCTATTTCCACCTTTGAATTGTTTGAGCATCGAATGAAAGTGTAACCCAGTAAGCAATTGAGTTAAAATTTGATAAACATTTTAAGAACGATCTTTAGTTTAAAGATTAAGCTTTGAAATTTCACTGTAGATGGCGCTTTAGTATCTCAAAGTTAACAAGTTTCTATTTAGAAACTTTTTTAAGTTACATTTACAAATTTGTACCATAAATTCTATGGATTTTACTTTGTAATTATATCCAAAATGGTGGAATGTCATGATGTCCTAAAATTTTGTGACACATAAAAAATGTTTTAAATGTTTCTATATATTTTGAGCTTTTCCTGAAAATCTCGAACTACAAACGTTAGAAGTAGAATACTTAACTCTACTATATAAATTGTGAAAAACAACCGATCAATATGAATCAACAAGATCCTGAACATTATGACACTTATGGAACTTACGATCAATATTTAGCAAAGTGTAAAACCTATAAATAACGAAAACCCTAGAACATAAACCATAATCTTAGAAAAGAGATTGAAAGGAGATTGTAGGGTTTTATAGTTGAAACGAAAAGTCGACTTTTCGGCTTTTTGCATTTAGTTAAAAGTCGACTTTTCAACTTTTTGCATTCTATGAAACGTCGGTTTTTCAACTTTTCGACTTTTTTCATTTAATTAAAAGTCGACTTTTAAACTTTTCGACTTTTAGTATTTTATAAATAGTCCACTTTTCGACTTTTTCCGAATTTTTTGGACTTTTTCCGACTTTTCGATTTTTTTCGACTTTTTGACTATTTTCGACTTCTTTCGACTTTTTTCGACTTTCTTTCACTTTTTTCGAATTTTTCCGACTATTTTAGAGTTTTTGACTTTTTTCAACTTTTTTCAAATTTTCGACTATTTTTGACCTTTTCGAGTTTTCGACTTTTTCCGACTTTTTGATTTTTTTCGACTTTTTTCATAGACTTATCGACTTTTTTGGAACAAAATAGTCGACTTCGACTTTTCGAATTTTTTCGTCAAAAAGTCGATTATTCGATTATTTGAAAGTCGATTTATAGAACCCTAGGAGATTGTCTCTTTAACATAGTGATGGACAGTAATCCTAACAAGTCACTGAACTCTTTTAACTTTCAATACAAAAAATAAGCTGCTGACATTTTCCACTTAAATTACCAATTCTCGCTGGGTTAGGTCACACAGACCCACCCACCCCCAACATAAAATCAACATACTAATGGCGTATACAATCTTTTCATATGCCACGATCACGTATTACTTTTTTGTTTTTGTTTTAAACATAAAACAGAAAAAAAAAACACAAACTAGTTGTAATTGTTTTTTTTTTCAGAAAAACACTAGGAATTTGTATCTTTTACATAAAATGCATGTTTTATTTAAAAAAAATGTTTCTTTTGTTTAATTTTAAAAAAATTTCTTTTACACATTTTGTATATGTATCTTACATTGACACATTTTAACATAATCAAAATGTCAAACTATGTATAAAAATAAATACAAAACTAAAATAGAAATACAAACAATTTTAATTGTTTATGACATTGTAGGTGAAAATTTTTCAATTATACAGGTGTACTTGACGGACTGACCAAAAAAAAATAAACCCATTCAATAACGAAACATCTCTGCACCAGAAAAAAAAACACTTTAATGAGGTCGTAATATAAGCTTTTGTCAACAAATATGATTGAACATTAATTAGCGCCATTTGAAGGTTGTTGCTTGCTATGTTTGACAAGTAGATGATATTTGAAAAAAAAAACATATCTCAGAGAGTGCAATAACATGTAGAGTATTAAGGTTGGCTGTCATAAAATACATTTTCGCTGTCAAAAATGTTTAAACTATTTAGACAAAGTGTAATTAATATTTTGTTTTAAGGTGAAATCTTAAAATACAGGTGTTACTAGAAGCGGTAGCCTCTAAGTGCATTCACATTGTTAAAATATTTTAAATGCCAAATCTTCGGTAGACCAGCTAACCTTTCTCTCGAACAGGTTTCTTTACAGTTACTATTTTATTAGAAGCAAAATGGAGGCTGAAAGATCACTATGGCATTGGATAGCTTGTTGTCTTCTATCAAAACTTGCTAGCTTCGATCTTTGCCAGATATCGTACAATACCAATGCAATTAAGATTGCTAAGAAGATTCGTCTTTTCCGTAATTCCATTCATGCAAAACAATGTCATCATTATCACTATGTGATAATGTGTTAGACCAATAAGGAATCAGAAGCTATTCTAGTTATGAAAATATAATGAGATATTTTCTGAAATTAATTGAAGAGCAATCAAAAGGGCAAAGGAAACTGTTTGACCGTATTTGATCTCTCTGCTCTTAATATATGACTAAAAATTGATTTGAGGCTTCTGGAGCGCGTTCATGAAAGATCCAAGATAAATATAGATCCAATACTATTTATAGGTTCGTTGGAGCGCTAATAATTTATTTATAATGGAAACTATAGTTCAGTTCAAGTTCAGTTCTAGTTCAGTTCTAGTTCAGTTCTAGTTCAGTTCTAGTTCTAGTTCAGTTCTAGTTCAGTTCTAGTTCAGTTCTAGTTCAGTTCTAGTTCAGTTCTAGTTCAGTTCTAGTTCAGTTCTAGTTCAGTTCTAGTTCAGTTCTAGTTCAGTTCTAGTTCAGTTCTAGTTCAGTTCTAGTTCAGTTCTAGTTCAGTTCTAGTTCAGTTCTAGTTCAGTTCTAGTTCAGTTCTAGTTCAGTTCTAGTTCAGTTCTAGTTCAGTTCTAGTTCAGTTCTAGTTCAGTTCTAGTTCAGTTCTAGTTCTAGTTCAGTTCTAGTTCAGTTCTAGTTCTAGTTCAGTTCTAGTTCAGTTCTAGTTCAGTTCTAGTTCAGTTCTAGTTCAGTTCTAGTTCAGTTCTAGTTCAGTTCTAGTTCAGTTCTAGTTCAGTTCTAGTTCAGTTCTAGTTCAGTTCTAGTTCAGTTCTAGTTCAGTTCTAGTTCAGTTCTAGTTCAGTTCTAGTTCAGTTCTAGTTCAGTTCTAGTTCAGTTCTAGTTCAGTTCTAGTTCAGTTCTAGTTCAGTTTCTAGTTCAGTTCTAGTTCAGTTCTAGTTCAGTTCTAGTTCAGTTCTAGTTCAGTTCTAGTTCAGTTCTAGTTCAGTTCTAGTTCAGTTCTAGTTCAGTTCTAGTTCAGTTCTAGTTCAGTTCTAGTTCAGTTCTAGTTCAGTTCTAGTTCAGTTCTAGTTCAGTTCTAGTTCAGTTCTAGTTCAGTTCTAGTCAGTTCTAGTTCAGTTCTAGTTCAGTTCTAGTTCAGTTCTAGTTCAGTTCTAGTTCAGTTCTAGTTCAGTTCTAGTTCAGTTCTAGTTCAGTTCTAGTTCAGTTCTAGTTCAGTTCTAGTTCAGTTCTAGTTCAGTTCTAGTTCAGTTCTAGTTCAGTTCTAGTTCAGTTCTAGTTCAGTTCTAGTTCAGTTCTAGTTCAGTTCTAGTTCAGTTCTAGTTCAGTTCTAGTTCAGTTCTAGTTCAGTTCTAGTTCAGTTCTAGTTCAGTTCTAGTTCAGTTCTAGTTCAGTTCTAGTTCAGTTCTAGTTCAGTTCTAGTTCAGTTCTAGTTCAGTTCTAGTTCAGTTCTAGTTCAGTTCTAGTTCAGTTCTAGTTCAGTTCTAGTTCAGTTCTACTTCAGTTCTAGTTCAGTTCTAGTTCAGTTCTAGTTCAGTTCTAGTTCAGTTCTAGTTCAGTTCTAGTTCAGTTCTAGTTCAGTTCTAGTTCAGTCCTAGTTTATTTATAGTTCTTGGCATCCGACGAAGATCCTATATAGACTAGAGTTATATTAAATATCATGAATTAAATCTTATCATTTTCTCCCTTTTTTCTACTTTCAGAGCCATTTATTCTTTGTTATGGAATATCTCAATGGCGGTGATTTAATGTTCCACATACAAGAAAGCGGTCGTTTTACCGAAGAAAGAGCCCGATTCTATGGTGCGGAAATTGTATCGGGTCTGAAATTTTTACATAAAAAGGGCATTATATACAGGTAAATAACTAACTATATTCTTTAGGATTTTTAACAACTAATAACAATTTCATTTTATCTCGCACAGAGATCTCAAATTGGATAATGTTTTATTAGACTATGAGGGTCATGTGCGTATAGCTGATTTTGGTATGTGTAAATTACAAATCTATTTGGATAAAACAGCGGATAGTTTTTGTGGTACACCCGATTATATGGCGCCTGAAATTATTAAGGTTTGTATGGTTTATTTTTATTTTATGGTTCTTTATTTAATGGTCTTGTATGTGTTTGTTTTTAGGGCGATAAATATAATCAAAATGTTGATTGGTGGTCCTTTGGTGTTTTATTATATGAAATGCTTATTGGTCAATCACCCTTTAGTGGTTGTGATGAAGATGAACTATTTTGGTCTATATGCAATGAATTGCCTTGGTTCCCAGTTTATATATCGGCAGAGGCAACAAGTATATTAAAAGGGGTAAGTTGTTAATAGAATTTTTTTCATAATTTTTATTTTATTCAATATCGATCGAAGTCTATTTTTAAAGTTTATTGAGATTTCGATTGATTTGGACCTGGTATTTCAACAACTAATTAATAATTTTATTGAATTTTATCTGTTTTTCTAATTTTAGCTTTTGGAAAAAGATTATACGAAACGTATTGGATCTCAGTATAGTCCTGCTGGCGATATTGTTGAGCATATATTCTTTAGACCCATTGACTGGAATCTGTTAGAGAAACGGCAAATTGAACCACCATTTAGACCACAAGTGGTAAGTTTTCTAACATCTCCCATTGAAATTTAAGAGACTCGAGTAACATTCTTTATCTCCTACAGAAACATCCATTGGATACACAATATTTTGATCGTGTGTTCACCCGAGAACGTGTACGTTTAACACCCATAGATAAGGATATATTACAATCTATGGATCAGAAACAGTTCCTAGGTTTTACATATACAAATCCTCATATAACATTGGATTAAGCATGGCCCTGTACAATGCCCAATTAGAGAATAACAACGATAAACCTCGTCTTACTTTTCGATAAAATTTTTTCAATGGAAAACAAAAATTGTATTTTATAAAGAATATAAAGCCTTTTAGTAAAAGGTGACCTCC